AAATCGTGTTATTGTTTTTGGCTAAGATCTATTTAATTTACTTGGACTATTTTATAATTTAATATAAATTTATGTCTATGACAGGTAGTCTATAGAATTCAATTTTTTCATAAACAATAATACCTGAGCTCAAAAACATTTATCAATTCTAAAACTAATAACAATACAATAATAAATAATATTGTTAATTGCACTTATTCAGCTGTTCCTGTTAAATAGGACAAATAAGAATGAAATCTAATTACTAAGACTAAAAATAATACTATTGATGGTAACGCAAAAAATAAGTGGAAATTTGGAGTTTGTTCTAACTCTTTGCATCTCAATGTGATTTGCTCTAATTCATATTTCAGATTGTTTTTTTCTGTTAAACATAAATCATATTCATTACGAATTCGTTCTAATTCATTTTGATCAAATACTGAATCTTCTTTARTGTCTACTGTATCAGAGCTGATTTCTTGAATCAAGACTTCGTTTTTAATATCATTATTCTGTACTTGGGATGTATTATTTAAACTCTCTGTTTGTGTTACTTTTAATTCATCCAAATTATGGTCAATACTTTTTAAGTTAGTAAAAGAGCAAAGATTTTTATGTAGTATATCTGGCACATCATGTATATTATTAGAGTCAATACTTGATACCTGGCATAAATATTCTGATATCAACAATAGTACAATATCTTTACAAGAGATCTCTTTCTTTAGATGTTTTATAGTTGATTCTTGGTCATCCAAATTAGTTATACAGTCCAGCAGTACATCTTTTGCTTCAGATAGTTTAAATTCAATGACATCGGATTTCTGTTTATAAAAATCTGTTTGAATCTCAATGTCTTTAGATAAAACTTCAATATTTTTTAAGCTATCATCATTCAATATAATCATTTTTAATTGATCGGAATCTGTATTATCAGTTTCATTAACATTTTTAATCTTGGTACAGTTCACTAACAGTTCATGATTAAGATCAAGTTCTGTCTGCAACTGGCATACTTGATTTTCTAAGTCAGCTTTTTGTTTAATGTGTTTTTGCATTTGACTTTGTAGGGAATTCATTTGATTTAAATAAGTCTGACGGTCTTGTAATATATGAACAATATAAGACATTATATCATTAAAGTATTTATTAAGAGAAATATCTTCAGTAAGCTCATGTTCATTTTGTAAGGTCAGAAGAAGTACATTGCGTGTGTTGATCTCATAATTCATTTTAGCTATTTCYGCTTGTAACCTTTCAATTTCTTCACATTTATTATGAAAGTTCATTTCTATTTCATTTTTTGATTCTTGTAATGTTTTTAATTCGGTTTCATGCAATTCTTTTGATGCATCAAATTCTTTTATACTGTTTTCATGATTAGCAACTTCTGTATTTAGCTTAGAACACACTTCTTTGATTTCATTTTGTGCATCATTTAGATGTTTCATCAGGGCACTTTGTTCAGWTATGGAATGTTTCAATAGATTCTCTAGTTCTTGACATTTCTGCATCAGTTTCAATTTTTCTTCCATTTCTTTTTTTAAACAATCTTTAGCCATTCCTTGGTATGAATATTTGTATTGTTTTAAATCACATATTTCCTGTTTCATTTCATCTTCTCCATGATCTTTTTTGTAGTACTGCAGTTGATTTTCTAAAAATTCAATTTTGGATAGTAAACGATCTTCAGCAACAAGGGCTTTCCAACTATTATCTGTTTCTCCTAATATGTTGGATAACAATCTTTCTAAGTTGAACAATTTGTTTTCTAAATTTGCTTCCCTGTGCATTGCATCTCGTATATATGCATCTATGGTATATAAATCTTGAGTAGATACATCACTAATGAAATTTTCAACAGGATTAGATTTAGCCTCTGTACCATCAGCATGATATAGTTTTAAGACAGCTGTAATACAKCCGTGAGATATGTTTTTAGAGTTTTCGATCACATCAACACCAAATTGGACTACATCTCCACTAAAAACTTCTTGTGGTTTAGACTCTTCGCCGCTTTTACTGAGTCTGTGGTTGTTAACAAATGTGCCGTTACTACTTTTTGTGTCTTGTAAAAAAAATTTCCCATTTTCGTGCCATAGCAGGGCGTGGTTTCTCGACAAGACTTTACAATCAAAAATCCCATTGTGCGGACTTACTTTGGCTTTGGCCAACAGACGTCCAATCTTGACTGGTTGATCAAGGGCGAGTGTACGCTCTTCAAACGGATGCGAGTTGGCACAATACTGAAGGATTGCTTTGCAAACAGAACTGGTTACCGTTATTGTGTCGYAATTCATAATTTCAATCATTAGGGTTGGTTAATGTACATTTTTGATTTTTTAAACCTAAATGATTGTTACTATAAATATATAGTCTTAAGTTACCTTATCTTAGTATTAGTTAGTATTTTCGATTCGAAAAGAATTTTAGAGTATACTTAACACGAATACTACAAAATGATAATGGAAACATACAGAATATTTGCCACAATAACAATTAATAGAGACAAGAGAAAAAAGAATAACTAGAAGAGCCAAGAAATGATTAATAGAACAACAATTATGCGAAATATCATATTGGTATAATAAACTATATCGATGGAATTTGTCTTTTGATAACGCAATTATAGTAATAATATTAATGTGTCAACATATTATAATTTTCTTGTATATTTATATATATAATATATACAGCACAAAAACATAATGAGGAATTTCGCAGTGTAACCAACGTAAAAAATAATATTATTATTATTATCATAATTCATACTTCATTTGTTTAACAATAATGATTCAATAATTGTTTGATGGTTATCAYGAATTTGATTTCTGAAGACTGGAATTTTATATTTGGAATTTTGGAATTAGTTTTTACTCATTTACTGTGTTGTACTGTTGTCAGTTTAGTAAGTTTAGTTGTTTAGTGCCATTGACTTTCGATGCCACGACTGGCGATTGCCGAAGAGGGCATTATTTTAATATTCTTAATATCAATATATTGCCCAGAAATGTATATCGTACACGACTCTTATTAATGTTTCGATAAAAAAAAAGAGAGAAATTAAAAAAAAAAATTGGCTTCTTCATTTATTTTTTGTTAAGACACGGTTTCTTTGAGTTGAGTTGAATTGTTGTTAATAACTGTTGTTCTCATTAAGTACTTCAAACTTGAAAAAAAAGAACACTATTCCGGTGACAATTATGGGTAAATCTGATTTTATTTAGACATGGTTGAATATATACATTAATCAAGACAATCATCAGGCACTTTTGTCTACCCCTCAATAAACAATGCAGTGTTTGAGTGTTCAATTCTTGTTTTTTTATTTTCAGCTGTTTCCACGGGCATGTCATTTCTTATATCAACATTACTAGCATTGTCACTGTTCTCAGTCATGCAGCTCAACAGCAAATGGTTGACGTCTAGTTCAGTGTTGGTCATAGGTACTGGTTTTCTTGGCTCAGTGTTGTTTACACTGTCCTTAACTGTATCCTTTATTGTTTTTAGTTAGTTTATAATATTTATATTCATAGTTAATAGTTATTCAACAAGTCATTTCAAATAGGTTTTTACTATTTTAGGRAAATATACTTATTTCAGATAATTAAATAAAATTTTCCAATTACCTACACAATCTATTACTCATTTAAAATGTTTGTTATTTTTCTCTTCTATTTTGGACTAAAAGTTAATAATAGTAAATAAATAATACATTCCTATCAACAATTTATTAATTTTTTTTWAAGTAAATAATAAAARACCTGCCGTACTTGGTTTAAAGTGAACTAATTGAACAACTCACCTTATAAATAACTACAAATAATAATGTTTCATGATAGTGTTATGAATAATTGCTATACCAACACATTTGGAAATTAATTAATAAATAAGTTTATAAGTAGATTTTGTCTGAGATAAACAAATAYCTTTGAGCTTATGAAAAGAAAATATCTATTTTTTTTTTGCTTTCAAATATAAAATAAAATAATGAAAATAATGCAATCATTACAACATACCTCTAATTTTACTATTTTAAAGATTGTTTATAAATAATAAAGTAATGAATACTTTGTATGTATTATAACTTTTTATGTAGGTAACAGGTTGTTATTCTTTTTCCTTTACTATGTGATTTCTAGGCTGTAAGCAATCTAATGACATTACTATTGGGAGAAGGATATCAAGCTAGTTTATTTCCAGAAAGTAAGTAGAATAAATAAATTAAACAGTAATTAGCCTTAAGGCTGTTAAATTTTATTTAGATTATGTATTCTTCTATGATTTTAAGTCAAATATATGTGTCGCAGAATAATGCGAAAGCAGTTCCCTCAGCGTCGTCGGTTCAAAACAGAAAAAAAAAGTCAAATATATACAGGGTGTCCAGCGAGGTTACCCATTGCGATATCTCACGAAATAATGGAGATATGAAAATTCTGGTTTTATAATAAATTATAAATATAAATGTAATAAATTCACAGGGATAAGAACTACAATTATTTCATTTTAAAATTTATTTTAATGTTTTAGTAAAAAATGTACAAAGTATATTTTTATATTAATTATTTCCAAAAAAATTAAAGATAGCCATTTTGTAGTGTTTATTTTTCTGAAAATATTGATGTTTCAAAATTTTATTTYCATTAATTTCCTGATTTTTAAAATTTTTTCTAGTTTAGATGAAATAAAATATGATTATAAATATATACAATATACAATATATAAATATAACTATTAGGAACACAGATAGTATTCAGCCAGCGGTATGGGAATGCGCGCGGCACGGTGAGTCACATGTTTGATAACATTATGGTGTTAAATAATTCACAATTTTTCTCGTAACTAAATAAAATATTAAAAATCAGGAAATGAATGAAAATAAAATTTTGAAACATCAATATTTTCAGAAAATTAAACTCTACAAAATAAATGAATAAATAAATAATTAAATATAAAAATATATTTTTTTAACTTTTTTACCAAAACATTAAAATAAATTAAAGTATGAAACAATTGTAGTTCTTATCCCTGTGAGTTTTATTACTAAACCAGAATTTCGATATCACCATTATTTTGAGAGATATCGCAATGGGTAAATCCTCACAGGACACCCTGTATACTTATATTTTTTTAAATCATTACTGATAGATATTAATTAGGGCTCGRATATTTATGCACTTTAACTACTGTAATATGCATGTATTTGTGCACTATAAAATTACAAAATATAAGCTAAAAATTATAAAATATGCATTATTAGCCTATAAAAACATCAAAATGTGCTCAAAAAAATTTATTATAKTTTATCATACATAAATATTTTATTTTTATTAACTAGTAGTTTTATTTATTATTATTTTTAATACATTTTAGATTCTGAGCGTAGCAAGAAATGTATTGATTTTACAATGATGTATTGATGTGTGTTTTTCTTTTTTTTTGTTTATGTCATCACGTTTTGAGGCATTAAAATCGACAAAATCGATTTTGGTTTTTGATGTAATTTTAAAACAAATAACCATGCATAATAGATACATGAAATTTTCACCGAAAGTTTATATAAGTATATTCTATCCACCGTGCAATTTTCAAAAAATTTTGACTTGAGTTGAACTATTTAAAGGCATATACAATTTTCGATCCTTATCAATTATTTTTAAATTAATATTGATAACAATTTATTTGTTGGGTAGAAAAGCTTGAAAATTGAATACAAGGCTTCTAACATATTGTTACAATAGCAGTTGAAAAATAAAAGAAATATTTAGTCACAAATTTTTTTTATAAGCATTCAAAGTTTGAATTTTGACAAAATACATAAAAATCAAGAAAAATAATAAATTATTTTAAGCTATAAATTCATAAAAAAATTTCATAATTTTCATAATAAGATTTGAAAATTTACTACAAGATTGACAACCTTTATCATGAAATAAATATCCACCAGAAAGTCAAATTAAGTTTTTACGAGTGTTTGAAATTTAAATTTTTACAACATGATTTTCACTAGATTTCTCATTTAGCGATATTCTTATTTTGGTGTAACCTAACTCTAAAACAAATGTCTGTAGATACTTGGAATTTTAACTGAATGTTTATAATATAGGCATTTTTTATATTTGATTAGATTTTCAAAATATTTTGATTAGTTTTGAACTGTATACTGACATTTTAATTTTTCAACTTTTTTTGTTTTTTTTTCTATTTATGTCAATACAATTTTAGTGGATGGGTCTAAAAGCTTTAAAATTTAATATAAAGCTTCCAACATATTGTTTCAATAGTAGTTGAAAAATATTTAAAATACATAGTCACGATTTTTTTTTTATAAGCATTTAAAGTTCAAATTTTGACTAAATATGTAAAAATTACGGCAATGTTTAAATTATCTTARATAGCAATTCATAAAAATTTTCCTTTTATATCTAAGACTTGAAAATTTTTAATAATCTATAATATATCCTAGACAGATAAACCGTTTCCGCTCAGAATCGTTTTTAGTATACAATGATATAATATCATTGGATTCAAATTTAATTCCAACCATTACAGTAATCCACTTGTAACCTACTGTACAGCAGARCGATATCCACTTTCCCGCTTCTTTTAAATTAACATTAATATTTATTGCATATTAATGTTACACTTTGCTAGTATGCTATTATGGTTTTTTTTTATTTGATCAAATTTGTAACTACATCCGTTATCAGTAAGTAAATTGTCACCAAATTCCATATGCAATATTATAAGTATAATTATATAAGTACCTTAACCCCAAACCAACACGATAATACACATTTATATTTCATGTCAATGCGTAGTAGATTGTAGTTACCACCTATACAATTTATAATATATACAAATTGTGGAATTAATTATATAGTTGATTAATTAAAATTTTTTTTTAAATATATTGATATCTGAAAATTTATTTTTAAAATCCCAAATTATACAATTTAAATACAAAACCATTAAATATGCAAAATAAAAATATTATTATTTGATTCAGTAAACATGAATTAAATGTGTATACAGGTTAGCATTAAATTGGATAAATAGAAGAAAAAAATCCAATTTTATAAATATTCAATACTATAGCAGATATTTCTATGGAACTATGCTTTAAGTGACTTCTTTAAATATTAGTTAATAACCAATGGGTTTTTATTTATAATTAAAACATTTGTCGTTTTTCTTTTCAGTTATATTGTCATTATTGTTCACTTTTTTCACATGTGTCTCTATCCACAGAGTATGTGCTACAACTGGGTAAATATTATAATTTATTTACATCTATTAATATTTTTTATAAATTTAATTACAAAGGCGAGCTAGGGTATTAAATTTCAGTTCCTTAAACATTTAAACATATTTACCTACTTGTTTCTTCTTGAATTTATTTATAATAATTAATTAAGTTTAACAGTAAAATAGGGAAAAATTAAATGGAAAGTTTTTAATAATTACAAAATTAAAAATAGAAAATTATGAATCTAATATAGAGTTAGCTTACATATTCAAATGAAACAATGTGATGTTGATAATTATAATTAGCATTTACTTAATAAAGTTGTTAGAAGAAACAGAAGGGGACTTATGAAATTTAGCTTTATCGAATGAATATTTAAAAAATAATTCAAAATTGTATACTTCTTAAAATAGTTGTTATTTGAACTCATATTTTWAAACAAAAATTAACATAGTGAAATTTTAAATAAAAAATTGCTAAGACTAATAAAAATCAATTAGCTTAACACAAGATCTTTTTTTGTTTTTAGTTAATGATATCAACATTTAAAACTATAAATAAAAATATAAGCATTTATTGATACATACTTAATGATTTTTATTAAAATAAAAAATATATGTTTGTATAATATTTAAAAATTTTTTTCATAATATAATAGAATTATAATCATTATTATTTTATACTCATGATATAATAATTTGTTTATTTTAAACATTCACTGGGAGCCTATATGGGAACCTAACTCAACCGGTGACTACTTCACTTTTACCCTTGGGAATGTACTTAAGCTACCAAAAATGTATTTCTCATTTTCCTGCTAGTTAATATCCCAGACTTCAAGACTTGAATTGTAATAACTAATGATAATAAAAAATTAATKTTATTTTATTTACATTTTTCAGTCTGCTATTTTCTTTATTCGCCCTTTACAATATTTATAATGTTTCTCAAAAGACATACAATTCCAGTTCATTGCTCAAACAGCCCATTGTACAGAACAAAAAGAAGAAACATTAAATACAAATGTGTTTGTAACTTGTTCATAATGTACTGAACAATTGATTTTTTATACCTATTTATTTTTCATTGTCATTCCTTGAATTAAAAAGATTAATATAAATTATTTGTATTAAAAGTAAGTTTCAACTGATTTCTTTATTTTACAATATTATTTTTAATTATATTTATTCTACACCAAGCGAATATTTTAAATATTATTACAGATGTGGTTCCAATGTATGTAGTAGTAGTTTGGTAAAATATGTTAATAAACATAGGTTGTATTTGTATTAATACATTATTATATTATTACCTAGTTAGTTGTTATTGTACATAGAAACCAGAGTGAAAAAAATTACATATTAAAATATTATATTATTATACATAAGACACGTCATAAATTAAGTGTTAGGAATTTAATGGCCATACATAACCTTACAAAGAATATAAATTGGTTAAATAGTAACAGCAATAATTATTAGAATAATATGTAAAATAATTTATGGATAAGATAACATAGCATTTATAAATAATAATTGAAATTTCCCCGGAAAACATGGACCAAACTTTTTCTGCCGATTGCTATTATTATTTAATAGTTTATCATATAAACACACAATATTTATATAGATGAACAATTTACATGTAAAAATGTTTTTTTTCTGATTTCAGCCCCTTAACATTTAAATTAAAAAAAAAATCCTCTTATTTTAAAGTGAAAGTGTTAAAGGAACCACTATTTCAAATTTCAAGTTTGTGCATTGAGTATTTTTTGAGATACAGCAATGATTGTATCTGTGGCATTTGGATGTTATGTAATAGGTATAATATGATAATATACTTATATCTTAGTCTGTACTTTTGACTGCATTATCAATTATCATAAAAAAAAATCTTCATATTTAATTAAAAAATTATTATATTATTTTAACGAAATAAAATATTCTGTCCTAGCATTTTTAAGAAAATAATTTAAAGGAGTGCTTTCAAAAGATAAAAAAATTTAAGAGGAGCTCTGTCTTCCCTTAGTTTGAGTACTGACCATAACACAATCTATAAATTCAATTTTTATTCAAACATGCAAGGTACCTTGAATTCTACTGAATTATATAAGACTTAGTGCTGCTTTCACCAAATACTTTAAACGTCAATTACGCTTAATCGACTGATAACAGTTATTTAACCGGCCAAATTTGGCCGATTAAACTCCGGTTTACTTTAATCGTAGTTTAAAGTAGTGGTGAAACTGGCCCTTAAAGAGTCTCAGTCTAGTTAATGTTAAGTATACTGGCAATAAAGTTAGTAAATGGATAAATTAATGGTTAATATTTGATAAAACAAATATATTGTAGTATTATTTTAAATAAAAAATATGTTTTAATCATTATTATGTGCTCATTTTTAAAAATTAGTAATCAGTATAAAATAATAGAAACTAGATTATTTAGTTTTTATTATTAACTTTATCATATTAGATACTAATATAACTATGACAGCAAGCTTAACAAATTATTATAATATATAAGATAAAAACAAATATTTTGTGTAACAAAGCTAATTTATAAAATAAACATAATTTTTATGATGAATTCAATTCAATAAATTTATATTATACCATACGTTATAGATTGTTGTATAATGTTTAGTATGATTAGAACTCAAAAGCTTTCATACAAAGCTTTTGAACATTTTCAGTAAAATAAATGTATACAAATAGGTATTGTGCAATATAATAATTAAGGATCCACCAACAACTATTTTGTATCACACAATTAGCACTTTTACAGTAATTTCATTTTATCCCGATGTATGGTACTATAGTACATTATCTATCAATAAATTACTGAAAAGTATCTCAAATGTATGCTTTACAGTCTTGTACTCTTTTAATTATTTTAATATATATTAGAATGCCGTGCACTGTTCACCATAGATTCCACTTTGTTTGCTGTGTCTCTGATAGCTTCTGGTAATTCAGGTAGGTCTAGTGTGGTAGTCAAGTGTGCAGATAGCCGTTTATACATGGAATCTTTTTTAGATTTCCCACTAAAAATTTTTAATAAATATATATGATTGTTTTAATACAGAACAACATCTTATAGTAAGATAACATTAACAATAAGCTCAAAGTTTAATATTGACATCCAACTAGAATAAATGTCTTACCATATAGATCTACAGTAAACACACGCTAAGTAAACAATCATACTGGTACGTTAATATTAAGCTTGGATGATGCATCATTGACTATTTGTGAAGTTTTCAATCTATATAATGTAATATAAATATAAAAAACATGCCTTGATGTCTAAACAATAATCATGATATAAAAAAATTATATATAATAAACATGGTATAAGCATGCATTGAATGTTGTACTTGAAAGTACCTATAACTATAAGTAAACACTTTGAAGAAGTACCTAGTATCTACTTGACAATCTAAAATATAAATATTTAGAACTGATATATGACTCACCGCCTAGTATGCTCATACTTGATTTGTTGACTAAGAAAAAGAGCATTTTTAAGTTGTTCTTGAATATTATTCAATGGTTCTTCGCAGTTCTTAATTGAATTAATAGCTCTAATTTATGACATTAATCCATAATATGAGTCATTAAAATGTATTTATTAACACGCAGTCTAAAAACAAAACATGTATTATTACCCTATTGCATATTCCACATCATAATAGTGCCCTTGTAACTCTTTGTGAAGTTTTTGAACTTGTACTTGTTTTTCTATCATAGGCGGTACAGATTTCCGTACATGTTCTTGAAGTCGATAAAATGCCAGGGATGGTTCGTTTGCAACAAAATGAAGATTTTCTGACAAAATTCCTGTGGCTTATTTTGGAACATAACAAATATAAAATTACTCGTACCTATTGTAAATAATAAAATTTGAATATTGCAAACATAATATAAACATACCACGTCTTGATTTAGTTTGTAAGTCTGGGTCATGCATTTCTGTCATCATAAAAATATATAATTCGGTTTTCAAAATCAAATTTGACAGTTTATTATAATTATGTATTTTTATACGATGGTATAAAAAATCTTTGGATAGTAAAATAACGAAATTATGATTACGTAAAAACAAATAATGAATCGAATAGTATTGTATTGTTTTAATATTTTTGACAGTCAAAGTGGATAATTTTAAGTTACAAATAAAAAAAATTAGAATTGATTAATTAAAAAAAAAAATTTGGTGAACACTTCAGTTTAATAATTTTTTAAGAGTTCCATTGGTAAATGACACTCTCACAATTCCTAATGTTATTTGAAAAAAGTGGGGACATGGCCTTGAACTCCAGGGCACTGCCATTTTGTTATTTTTGAGAACMAGCTGATGGCTCATATCATATATTTCAATAATTGATAGTTGATACATGATATCACAGAAATTATAAAAAAAATTATAATTACTAATAATAATTAAAATTAAAATAATTATTGAACGTGTAATGCAAAACAGTTGTTATTTCATACTTGTTGTTAGATAGCCGCAACTCGCAAGCACTTTAAGTTAGGTTATAA